ATGACATATATTCTTTGAAGAACACAAGGAAAAACGTCTTGTTAAATGATGACTATTTCTTAGCTGTCAACAAGAGAAAGATATTGGTATTGGATGGATTTTCTATTTCATCCACATTCACCTTCAACGCCTATACATGAAATGATATATACAAAATATTAATTATTACATATTATATATGATTATATAATATAATACTTTTTTGTGTGCTATCTTAACAAAATAAAAATAATAAATTACGATCAAAAAAATAATTCTTTTTTTTTAATGTATTTGTTTTATCAGCTTCAGTATAATGAGTACAACATAAATCAAATGTATTAAATCATACTCTGATGGTGTGGGTGTGGATGTAGATTAAAAATAATGATAATCACAATCATTTCCCCCTTGTGTTACAAGAATATTTTTAATATCAATCACTACTTGATATTTTTGATCTATAAAATATTTAAAAAACTATCTGAATATAATCAATCATTAGTAGAGTATTTTTCAAACCTAGATCGTTAACAAGGTTAAATGGCTGAAGAGATCAGCATAATCATTTTGCTAATTTGTCACTGAAACCTTCTCAATCACTTTCAGATGATGATTGTCTTGAACAGACATATCTTAAAAGATGTTTATTACTTCCAGTACCACCAGATCGATAAAAATAAATATTTTTATATTCAAAACAACTTACGAAACTACTTATAAGTTCGTAAGAACTATCTTTTAAGATCCGTGCAAGTAATACCAATGCTGTCCATATATTTGATGAAACACCTTTTTGTTGATTTTTCACTACAATAAATTACTTGGAGAGATCTTTTGTTTTAAACGATTCTCGTTTTATACTGTAATATATCACTGATTTGAGTGTAATATTTATGAAGATTAATTCGTATTATTTGACGATTCATCAACTGAAGACATTATATAATAAACTAATGTAATAATATGATTATAATAATACAAATACGATCATTTCAACAAATCACCACCAATAGAATAATATCAAAATAGTACACTTTACCGAGTAATTTTATTGTATAAACTCTAGTAGAAATATAGCAATTAAACCAATAAAAGATAAAACTAAGAATTAAGATTATATTTTTCTAAAATAATAATAATAAGTGATAAAAACAAACATCAAAGGATAAGTCGATAAAACAATATAATAAATATTTAAATAAATAATAGATAATGATGAGTATAGTATTATTATAAATTATTGAGAGTCATGAATGCGTCTAATTTATAGTCATCAATAACTTAATTTCTTGATCCGAGATGAAAATTTTATCAATTTTTATATTTATAAACAAATAAATTAAGAAGTTCTAATATATAAAATGAAAAATATATTAATTTATTTCATTCAAAACAAGTTCTGTCGAAATATATGAAGTCCATTGAAGTCTGTTGAAGTCTTTTAAAATCTTTGAAATCTTTCGAACTCTGTCTTTTCCCTCTAGACTAGAATGTGGTTTAAACTATAAATTACTTCTTGAGAATAACAATTAAAAACAGATTTTTCTTTATATAGAGAAATATACTTCATAGGATAAAAGCTACATTTATCTTGAATTAAAATAAGATAATCCTACTCTATGTAGAATTAAGCTCAGTTTGAATACATTATTAAAATTTAGTTGATTTTAATACCTATTATCGATCAATTATATAATTCCATATAGACATTGCTGAAAATCTATAATAAAAAGTGCAATCTTTGTTACACTATTTCGTATGCTAATGTAAACGGACGTATAATTGCTATTATCTTTCTCTATCCCTTATGCAATCATGCATGTTTCTTTCTCCTTTATTATACAAAGATTTGCTTATATTTCAATATTTACGATATTCCCTCGACTGAAAGGAGGGTGATACGAAAAAAACGAAAATGCGTTTGTCTGTCTGTCGCAGGTCAAAGGTCAAAGGTCAAAGGTCAAAGGTTAAAAAAACATCGAAAACCAATTTTTAGAAAAAGACGTTTTTAGAGGTATTTCGATGCGGAGACTACAAATCTGAGGTCCGTTGAGTGACTTGTTGTTGGAGGGTGTCAATAGGGGTCATGGGTCAAAGGTCAAAGGTAAAAAAACCATCGAAAATTAATTTTTCGAAAAAGACATTTCTAGAGGTATTTCGATGAGGAGACTTCGATTCTGAGGCCCATTGAGTGACTTGGGGTAGGGGGTGGTTGAGAGGTCAAAAAAACATCGAAAATCAGTTTTTCACGGTTTGATTTATTTTTCCAGAAAATGTGAACAAAATGCATTTCTATGAGAAAGACCTAAGCGAGCCCTCGGGCGAGCGTTACTTGTTGACCAATGAAACACTGAAGTTGATAAAACTGACCAATCAGAAATCACGACTACCGAAACTGTAGAATTAGGTCTTGACAGTATGATTATGGGTGTGGGTGTTAGGGTTTGTTTGTGGAAAGGTGGATGAGGATGTAGAATAGCAAAATAATCACACCCACAGTTGCACCGTCACCCACACCCACCAGCACCACACACCCCTGGAATGCATTATATGAAGTAGTGCGACTATTTTGTTTCCTCGACTGTAAGGAGGGTCTAGGAGAAAAAAGTCTGTCTGTTTTCTGGAGAGGTCAAAGGAACGTTGGTGTCAACAAAACGCATTCGATCGGAAAACCTTTCAAAACTATAATCGTGAGTGTTCGGGAACGGAGGATCCGATGGCATCATTGGTTTTTCGATATGGCTCCCTCGTCCACTATATGAGAAACTATACCTAGAGAGTGCCTACTCTAAAATGAACATGTAACAACAGCAGACGAGTGACGTATAGAGTGAAAAGCAGTTAGGATCATCGATTAGCAGCGGTGAATCGGGAGTGGCGGACCGAAGGGACGCCGACGACCGACGAACCGCTGCGGATATAACACTGTTCATGGACGTGCTCGTGTATGATCTTGAAAAAGTTCTAGTTGGATTCATCGAGTCACCGGGCACATGCTGAAAATTGAGAAACACTTCAACAAACTATGGTATAAGGAGTCAAAAGAGTGCATCTCCATGATTTGTTTTTGGAAGTATACTTGTCGCAATCAGTCGAGGGTCAAGCGAGTCGTACCGACGCGCGTTACTTGTATCAAAGTGGTTTCAAATACAAGAAAACAATAGAATTTAAAAATAAGTAAATTATTATTTTACATATATTTCTGTTTCATTGATAAAGATTTTATATTTCAGATCTGAACATGAATTCAAAAACTAATAATAAGCAAATTTCGGTCATTAATTACCTTTATAAAAGATATTCTAAAATCAAGTAATTTTATTATTCGTGAAGATAATAACGCAAGAAAAGTTAATAGATGGAAACATATTTAAATAAGTATTTTATATTTTTTCAAAGGTAAATATAATAAACACACAATCAAATATTTCGATGAATTATTATTATAAAAATTCAGAAATTTTAATAAATATAAAAAAACGACCGAATAATGTGTTTTTTGAAAACAAATACTACCTTCTTTTTTACTTTTAGGTTCATCAACTTAATTCCAATGCGACTCTGAAGTCGGTTCCGTTAAACGTGAATATTGCTTCTATAAAATGTCCGGAACATCGCGAAACCGGTCGTTTCCGTACTGGATTGTTCAACCTGGATAAGTTGTTATTTTAAACAAGAAAATTCAACGTGTATGTAAAGTTTTATACTCATATAACAAAACTTTTCATTCTTATTTTATAGAATCCAAAATGAACAAAATTTTAAGAATATATTAAATAATTTGAATTTGTTTTTTTTTGGAATATATCTCCTGAGCTTAATTATTTATTGAATAATCCTTTATACATTCAGATTTTAAATGATCTTTAAGTATTACCATCAAATCAACCACCAACTCATGAATAATATAATAAAATTTGAAAACAAAATTATTATACCAACATTCAATGAAATAACATTAAGACTGCGTAGTTTTAACACACGGCTCAAAGCAGAAAAGTGACAGAATACTTTTGACGCTCACTGTACATAATTATTTTTATTTCTATATATTTTGTGTTCTTACAATAATAAACAAGACACCTTTTTCTTATTTTATTCTTCTTTTCTTTAATATAATTCTTTTATTTTTATCTTTCAAACTACTAATAGATAACATATTTTTGCATGAGAAAAATATTTTTGTACAGAATTTGAACACTTCGTTTCATTGCATAAATTTAGTTTCTTGATTTGGGTACACTTAACTCGTGTAGTGTATCATATCTATTCTACGCTCACATCAACCCTCAAAAACCGATTTGTAGAAACCTGTCTTATTTAGTTTGTAAAAGAAACAATTTCAGCTTTGCCTTTCGCAGAATTACTGTTATTAGTTTATTGTCATCTTGCAATAAAAGAACATAACAAATTAAATATCTTTTATTCTACGCAACATGTTATGATTGTTTGTTTGTCTATTGTTTTGAAATTGATCGGACTCTCAAATTATCTTCTGACATGATCAATTAAATCTTCCATTTGTTGTTCATTTACATTTTCTTTCGAAAGCACTGTCCATAATCGATTTTGTACTAGATAAATCCAATCTTCAGCAGTAACACTACCAGAAGGATATTCAAACGTAAATTTTTTCTCCTGAATTTGCTTAAAACCTGCATGTTTTAAATCGTCAAGCAATGTTTCAAGATGTTCTCCTTTTGCGAAAAAACTTTTTGTACGTTCGTCAAATGGAAGAATTTCAAGCATATCTGGATTGCGACATATCAATAGTTTACCATTATTAGGTGCAAGGTGTTTGTAAAAACCTTTAAAGGCAATCAATCGTTCTTCGCGTGTTAACAAATGAATCATGGTTTTCATGAAAATACGATCGTATGGTGAATAGTTAGTTGACTGGCCAAATGTAACAGCATCCATGCATACTGTTTTGATATTTGAATTTGAACCTGATTCTTCCTGAAATACATCGAGCATACCTTGTGATGGATCTACTCCTATAACGAACAATAAAAATAACTGATTCTAACAGAAACTGAATACTGAACTTATGAATAATGGAATAAAACGCATTTTATGAGATAGCAAAGGTGTTTCATTAGGAACATTAGTACGGCTGGTTTCTTATGAATAGAACTTGGTAGTGAGAAAAGAAAATTCTTTTATTTCGTACTATTTTCTTTTTTTTGACACATTGCAATACTCGCCTATTATCTGTATTTCATTATTCATTTTATTTAGTATTGCTCTTGAATGAAGACCGGGACCGCAACCCATATCTACCAATATATGACCTGGTTGAAGTTCTAACGAATCACAAATTAATGACGATATCCATTCAATATTTAATGGTGACATGAAAATATTATTAACATATTTCGATGCTGTTGCTGGTGTGTAATAAACTGTTTTCGTTTCATGTTGATCGTAAGAAGTAGCTGACATGTTATTGTTTTTTCAATCAAAAGAATTTTTTAAACATCATCTCATTTAAAACAAAAAATCTTATCAAACAACAAAAAAGATAATTTCAAGGCCACGTGTCGAGAAAACAGAAAAGTGTAACTATTTTTTTTATCTTCTGGTTGTTTTATTTTACTTTCAGGAGGTAGAATAATGCGATAGAAAAGTTGAAACATCATACTATGATCAACGAAGGAAAAGTTTTAAATACGTACTAAGAGAAAAATACTGAGTCTCTTCATATGAAGACTATCAACTAGTACTGTCGTAGAATCTACTCATAGACAATTGATCATTTTATCAAATATAAAATGTACAGTAGCTAACAGACAATACATGACTAATGGAAGAAAAAAAATCAATGTTTCGATACAATTATAAAGGAAAGTGGTGCAGCCATATAATCTATTAACAATTGAAGTAATTGAATATTATTTCAGAACTTTTACTACATCGTTTTTTCTTGCATATAAGTATTTATTACATTTTCTGTTAGGTATTAAATAAAATGAAATGAAAAATTTCATTCTAAATGACTCAAATAATACACATACGATCAAATTGTAAAGAACAAGGAAAACTAGACAAAACAAAAAATATTTTCAAAGAATCAAAACCATTTTGTTTCCATTATCTTTCCTAATGAGTCTTTAGAAGTAGATGAACGATGACACTCATTGTACATTGAACTGTCGTGATGTGTGCTTGTAAAAGTATTCCGTATCCTATTCTTTTTTTTTCTCTCGTTGGTGGCAGGAAGAGTCGCTTTGGCTACTTTATTTGATACTGCTTACTTTTCTACATAATTCTCCTCAAATACATCTTCTTAAAAATAAATATTGACAATGATGAAAAAATATGATGTTGAAGCAATTAATAAATTTTAATAAATATTTATTTTAAACTCAATCATAGATGTATAGATGGAATAGTTCTTCTCACATTCTCTCTTTAATTTGACTACAAAATATGTTTCATAAAAATATTCTAAAAATAAATACTTCAATATTTTTTTGTTCGTGTTGAGTGTGTCACAGATGTTTTTTTGTTCTCTTACTTTCTGATTTTACTTAATATTCGAGTGAGTAACTCTATGATATAAATTATCAAAGAAAAGAAGTAATATGAGTCTGATGTGTGAATATAAATATTATAAGAGCAACATTTTTTTCTCATTACATCAATAAAATGAGTGGTGGATTTTCATCATCTGGTTCGTATAGTAATCAAGCTAAAGAAGGTACAGAAGATATTAATGGAAGTGAATTTTCTACTGGTGGTAATTATTCACGTGGCATGTCATCATCTGGATCAGAAACTAATCAAGCAGATAAAAAATGTATCAATGAAAATGATGTTGGAGGACGAATACCTAGAACAACTATTCATACCAAATTTTATCATTAAAAATATTATTCACTAATATTATTAGAATAATATAGAGATATTTATGTAACTTCATTTATTATCCGATTACATTTCATCTACACACGAAATCCATTTTCTTTAATCGAATACGAACTACTCTTTATTCATTTTGGATTAATTACAGATGTCACTCGAATCATGTCTATTTTTCTGAAATAATTGTTTTTTACAAGAGATAAAATGAAAAAATCTGTTAATCCTTTCGTGTGTTGGTTTTTTTTAATAATAAAAAATTTAATTTTTGGTAAAGAACTTGAAAAAGGATGCATATATACCAATAAATAATTCTTTAATGAAATGGAGTTCAAATTGTGTAATTACATGAGTCATATTACGTTCTGTTTCTCTCACAATAAAAATAACGATTTAAAGTACGACAGAAATCAAATATTTACCGTCACTTTCTCATCAATGTTATTATATCAATAGAATGTTTGCTGAATCACAACTTTTAATTATGTCTAAGTAATTTTGCATTGTAGATAATTCAAAAAAAATGTGTGACACTCTTAGAACTGCTATTGAATCTTTACCTGTTGAGTTGTGGATGATATTGTTTGAGTATTTCAATGTTTATGAGTTGTATCATCAATTTAGCGGTCTAAATTCAAAAATTGACAATATGATTCAACTAGTAAATAATCTCTGTTTACAAATGAATCCTATTAATCACGCGTACTGTCTAGAGCATATTTTGTCATTGGTGCGTTTCGATAACATTAAATCATTATCATTTTACCATAACTCCGAATCTATTCTAACAACATCATTTTTTCTATCTTATCCATTGAAGAAATTCACAGGACTTCGTTCATTTATATTTCATAATTGGTATCTTCCTCTCCACAGTTCTCGAGAACTAATTGAACAACTTTTATATTTAACACACTTGGAAAAACTAGACGTTACACTTATCGATTCTCCTGACAATGAAGACTTTATGGATAATGATGATGTAAACAACACACGTCTTATAAATCTTATATTTAGTTCTAATCATAATCTACGTACGTCACTAAAACATCTTGTCTTGGACATGTATATTGGTGAACCAAGACTTCACAATATCAGATTTTTACCAACAAACTTAGAATATTTCGAAGTTAATGTAATCGATCTCGGACCTTTTCTAACTTTGATTCCATCGCTAGAACTTCGATGTAAAACAATTTTATTTAAATATTTAGAAGTAAATAATGGTTATGTACCACCATCATCGTCATTGAAAGTCCTTAATTATTGTACAAAGTTAACATTTAAGACTAACTGTTACTTTCAATTTAACCATTTGCAAGTTTTTTAAGCTGTTTTCCCGAAGTCAAACAGTTGACAATTGATAATAGTTCTTCCGATGAAACATTAACAGCGGAAGAGCTTGAATTACTACTAAGAAATCAATGTTCAAAATTACTGAAATTTCAATATGTTTTTAATACATTTCGACTTTCCAATATTCAACATAACTCTGCCAGTTATTGGCAAACATTCGAGCAATCGAAATTCTGGCAAAATCGCCATTTCACATTTAGATACGATGATGATCGTTGGGGACTCACTATACTTGAATTCGATCTAAGATAATACAGTAGAAACAAAAGAAATGTCGTTTCTATTGTTTTCGTCGTTTGTTTTGAATTGTTTGATCAGGTATAGTTGATTCCTTCTTTTCAATTTCTTTGATAATACCAACAGCCACTATTTTTTCGGTATCTCGAATAAAAAAACGACCTAAAGGCGGATAATCAGCAAATCTTTCGACACATATTGGACTTCTTGGAATTATTCTGACAATAGCTGCTTCTGTTGACTTTATATACTTGGGCATCAGTTCAGTTATTTTACCCGATCGTCGATGAAGTTTTTTAAATAGTTCGACAAATTCACATGGAACACAAGCTGTATGACAACACAATATTGATGAATAACCTTGATAGATTCGAATTGAATGATTGAGTACGACAATCTAAAATAAAACATCAGAAATACATAGTAAAGAAAATGTAATTAGATTCCTACGTATGCAATAATACTTGTTACTTCTCCAGCTGGATCATTCTTTAAATCAGAACAGACAAAACCACGTTGTAATTGTTCAAAACTTATACCTTCTACACTAAAACCAACATTATCACCAGGTGTCGCTCCTAAAAAGTTACATTTCTATTAGAGACATAGAAAAGATAAAGATTATTACCATCAAAAACTCCACTTGTTTCAAATGATTTCACTTTACTCGTTAGATTTGACGGAGCAAAATTGATGCTCATATTTGGTTTCAATATACCAGTTGCTACTCGACCCATGGGTACAGTTCCGACGCCACCAATCTTATATATCTCTGACAAAGGTAATCGTAAAGGTTTGTTTATAAATTGATTAGGAAGAATCATCGCATCAAGTGCTTCCCAAATAGTTCTTCCCATGATATGTTGTTCGTTGTGCTCGATCTTCCATCCTGTAAACCATGGCATATTTTTTGAAACTTCAATCAAATTATCACCGTACAAAGCCGAAATAGGAACAAAGACAATTGTCGATGGTTGATATCCAATCTGTTCGATGTAATTACTGATTTTTATTTTTATTTCATCAAATCGTTTTTCGAAAAAAGATGGTTCTGTTCTATCCATTTTATTGACCGCAATGATTATTTGTTCAACACCCAATGCACAGACAAGTTGAATATGTTCACAAATTAGTCCGTTCACGTAAAAACCTACTTCGAACTCATCAATGGCAGCACTCACTATAAGCATAGTACAATCAATCTATAACACATCAAAATAGCTTCTTGAAATATTATACTTTTCAAACAAATAAACTCACACGTAATGAATTCATGATCATATTTTTAATAAAACGATGATGACCCGATGTGTCAATAATAGTAATGGAATTCTTCATAGTTTCAAATGTCCATAGAGAATAATCGATAAGATCACCACATTCGTATTTTATTTTTAATGTCTCTAATAGATTTTTATCTATCTATAAAAATAAATAAAACAATTTTTATTTTAATTGAAAAGCATAATATAACTAACTTTAGTTGATCCATTGTCGACATTGGTATACTTCGAAATAAAATGATCAATTGTAGTCGATCTACCAGAATTGACATTACCAATAACAATAAAGTTGATTTGATTTTTTCTTTGAGCCATTATTAGCAATGATTTTATTAAAAAAAGATTTTTTTAATTTAACGTCACTTGTTTTTTTGATGATGTAATGTTATTTCGATAACAACATTCACAGTGATGAATCATTCTCGTAAAGAACGAAAAAAAATCTATGTGAATAAAGCTTATGATATTCTTCGATAAGTTTATGACTAATGTCAATACTTATGAAATTACTCGAATGATTTATTATAACTTTGATTTTCATAATTTTGTATCCTTTCTTTTTTTTGATCTAATGACGTCAAATTGGGAGGCACCTTCTCAGATTTTACCTCATCTATTTCTTGGATCTTATTCATGCACTCACAACAAAGAAGAACTTATAAAAATTGGCATCAAGTAAGTTTTGACATTAATTTTATTTCATATAAAAGTTACGTTGATTTTCAGGTACATTCTAAATCTTACTGATTCTCCAAATTTGCATCCTAATTCTTTTATTTATCTTCAATGTCCCGTCAAAGATTCATCTTCTGAAGATATTTTACCATTGTTCGAACAAGTATTTAATTTTATTGATCAAGTATGAAGTTTACAGAGAGTCAATCATTATTATTTCTCATTAATTGTAGGCTTCATCGAATTCAGCATGTCTTATTCATTGTCATATGGGAGTGAGTCGATCTCCTTCTTTTGTTTTAGCATATTTAATACATAAGAAAGAAAGAAATCTTCGAGAATCTTATGAATTATTAATAAATGCTCGAAAGCATATATCTCCTAATTTTGGCTTTTTACAACAATTGATGGCTTTTGAAGATTCTCTTTTTGGAAATATATCAATTTATTTTGATCAAGATATTCCTTTTGATTGATATGTAATTTTAATCAAAAAAAATAAAAATTTCAGTCTAACTAAACACACAAAAATAAATATGAGTTCAATATTTTTTATTCTGGAAAAACACTAAATCGTCGTTGCATATTTTTATTCATATTAGCAACAGGTATAATACTAAATCGTCTATCTAAGATTTTATTTAAACTACCAGCATCACTAGGTTGACCAGCTTCACCAGCTTCACCAACTTCAGGTAAATGCCAATTTGATTCATCTTCAAAATTTTCAAAATTTTGTACAAAAATCGGTAATCTCAAAACTGCACCTGTAATTAATCCACCAACAATAGCTATACATAATGTTAAACCAAGTGCAGCTGCTTGATATGCTGATTGCATATTATTAGTTCGTTGTTTTCCACCACTAAGACAAACATCTGTTAAATGATCTAAAAAATTTGATCGATTTCCAGAAAAAACTAGAATAATTCCAGTAATTCCAGCCATTAAACCAGGCATTCCATGTAAATTATTAACTCCACATGTATCATGAATACGTATACGTTGTAATTTTGGTAAAAGAAAATGAAAACCTAAAACAGATATCATTCCAGCAAGTGTACCAATTGTCATTGCACCATGTAAACCAATATTTGATGTTGCTACAGTTCCAACAGCAACTCCACCAGCTAATGTTGAATTTTGTATATGTATCATATCTAATTTACCTTTTTTAACAAGTGTTGACATAAGAAAAGCACCAATAACGGATGCACATATCGATACATATGTATTTGTTATTGCATAAAGTCTTTCAATGCCACTTGCTGTACCTGCATTAAATGATGGCCAAAAACAAAAAAGAAACATTGTACCAATTATAGAAAATAAATCAGATGTATAACGAGATTTTTCAAGAGTAGAATCAAGAATTTTCGAATGAAATAAAACAAAAGCAACAGCTAAACCAAAATATGCTCCTAATTAACAAAAAGAAAACAAAAGAGAAATGATTAAAAATATTTTTTGTTTTCTTACCAAATACATGTACAAACATTGATTCACCAGCATCACTTGCACAAAGAAAATGTGTTCCAATCCATTCATTAACAACTTGTAAGGGAACTTCCATAAATGACATTATTATTAATTGAAGAGGACTAACTTGTCCTAAAACTGCTCCCATTGATATAAGTATACTAGCTGAAACAAAATCTGCTGTTGATAAACTTTGAATATCAACTAAAAATTTTTGTTCAGAAACATTCCAATCAAACATAAAACCACGCATTATCAAGGCCCATTCAACTGTAAAAGCACATAAGATAAAATTAAATCCAATAGCTGAATAAGAATAATGACTTAAAAAAGTCATTAAAAATCCAAAACCAATAAACATCATCACATGAATATCAGTAAACATTGAATAATAAAATTCAACAAGACCACGAGGTGGATTTTCAAAATCTGTTACATTTGAAACGGGAAAATATTCATATCCACTGTAAAAACCAAAGATTAATGTAAAAAGAATTTGAAGAAGAAATAAAACAATTGGAAATAAATAAGGACGATAATTTGACATCTTTTTTTTTGTATTAAAATATATCGATTATCTTTTTTATTTTATTTTATTTTAAGTTTTTTTTTTAAAGAATGTGCTTTTATTTATTTCGTACGTTGATAGTTATGAAAGATAAAACAAAGGTTAAGATAACATATAGAATACAAGGACGAACAGACAAGATAAAAAGAATTAAAACGATAAATATAAATTTAATAGAAAAATAAACATCATCAAAACTAAACAAAAAAGTCCAAGACAAACATATTAATCAATCAATACAGGTTTAGATGCATTACAATTACAAATACAGAGAAAAACATAATAAATGATCGATACAAAGAAATAGGAATGCAACCTTTATGAAGTTATATTTAACTTTCACAATCGTAAAAAGATATTTTTATCATCCTTATAGATTCAACTAACTTCAATTTTTTCATGGGCATCAAGGGACATAGAAGAAACAGGTAGATAACATTAATACATACTTTCAAATATTCTTATTGCATCAAAAAAATTAACTTTCACATTTACGATATATCAGAATATTATTATTATTTTTATTGTCATTGGCAAAGGCATTGAAAAAATGAGTAAACAATATAATGTCATACATAGGATATATCATTTACATCGACGACATATAGACATTCTTCTCATTCATTATCAAAACTCACACTGATCTCTAACATAAATATTTAGACACTTTATATGATAAACTAAAAGAATTTTAAAATAAATACGCCCTTTCAAATGTATTTAAAACAAATAATACATTACACTAATTTTTCATCGATGGTGAAACATTTATCCCATAAATATTGAAAACATTAAAATCAATTCTAATTTACATTTTTTTTCTAACAAGACTATATTTCTTTTATTCAATAATAAAATTTTTTGAAAAACAATAATGTGAAATATTATTTATTAAAATAATAATTATAACAATAAGAGTCAACTAAATTGTTCATCGATTATTTTTTGATCATATCTCTTGACTAATACGTTTTTTTTATTCTTAAAAATATAGAAATCAAGTTATAAAATGAGAATGATTTTTTATTTATTTATTTATTTTGAATCGTCTTTCTTTCTCTTGAGAAATCAAAATTGATGATACTAGAAAAGAATCAATCGAGTCAAATAAATTATTAATCTTGACTTTTACCAATTCATATAAACAATTGTATTTAATAAAATCTGATAAAAGATTTAACCAATTATATCTTCAAACTAATTAATGTCGTTTCATCATTTCTAGATAGAACAAATAAAAAAACGTTTTATTCTCGATACGATAGAAAAACAAATGTCTATACTTTGTAACCTACAAATTGACAACTTATATTTAACCTATTTATTTTTTTAAGATTATGTGTGTAGGCTGTAGGATGAGAGAAAAATAGTATCAAGGTCAGAATCAATGCGATTAGAACACATAGTATGATTATATCAATGCTGCTTTGGTTTTCTCGATAATACAATGATTCGTTATATTTAATGGAGTCCATCTGCTTGTTCCCACCAAACCTGATTACTTCTCTATTTTTACTACCCACGCAAAGAAAAAGATAGCTTTCTGATATTTCATAACAGGTGCACTTTTTCAGTAACAAATAAAGGGATTGTTGAAATTGGCCATTAAGTATATAATGCACACCCTTCTATTGATATCAGAATACGAAAGATTCAGATAAGCAAATTTCTTAGTGTATATAGTGACAGTCAGATATTTGATTTATTCGATACAATATTCTTTTCTTTATTGTAGAGAAATTGCAACTCTCATTATCCATACTCATGTCTCTCATAATTTTATTACTCTGTACGTTATTAGGCGTATCGTTGACTACAGCAGCTACTATCGAACGAGCAGGTATAACATAAAAGAACTTGAATACTGAATATGAGAAATGAGAATTATTTTAGTGTCATCTGATGTACTTCCATCCATATGCTACAATGATTTTGGTTGTTTCTCACCACGACCGGGATTCAAAGTCTTACCTCAATCTCCAGAAAAGATTAATACACAATTCTTTCTCTATACAAGGTGAGTAGCATGTACTATCGAGAAGGCGATACCATTTTACCTTTCTTCCCTTTGATCGAATTAGAAAACAATCCAGTCAAGCACAGCTCATCTCCTCCTCAAATTTGGGTTCATTCGATCATACAAAACAAATCAAATTGATTATTCATGGTTTTACTGATAAAGCATCGAGTTCCTGGGTGATCAATATGACAAAAGAACTATTGAAATTGGTTTGTTGTTAGTTTCTTTCTAAGCAAATTCACTTTTTAGAAGCATTTTATAGGAAGATATGAATGTGATTACCGTTGATTGGTCTGGTGGCAATCAGTTTCCGTATGGCCAAGCCGCAGCCAATACTGTAATAGTGGCTGCTGTTGTTCGACAGCTCCTTCAAGTAATGATCAGTACCGGTGCACAACCACAGCAAATGCACTTAATTGGCCATAGTTTAGGTGCACATATATCGAGTTATGTAGGACGAGATTTACCTAATTTGGGACGTATCTCTGGCTTGGGTATTATTTATATTAGAAATTAGAAATCATTTATGTTTTTTTTCTTGAGTCTAGATCCTGCTGGACCTGATTTCTATGTTTCTCAAGTTCCTGATCGTCTCGATCCATCCGATGCTCTGTTTGTCGATGTAATTCACACTGATGGTGCACCACAAATACACTCAGGTTTCGGTCATTTAGAACCATTGGGACATGTAGATTTCTATCCCAACGGTGGTTCTGCTCAGCCCAGTAAGTTTCTATAAATTCATTGATAACATAAAACTTCTCTTTTTTTTAACTTTCATATAGCTTGTGGTAGCAATACTGGTGTCATCTTATTACAATCGGCATGGAGTTTAATCAGTACTTTTAATGTAGGAAGTGAGTAAAATTGTCGTATAACGTTACTTAAACTGCTCATCTCTGGACTTTAGATGCTGCCGATACGCTTGCCTGTAATCATATGTCAGCAGTGTTCTATTATACTGATTCAATCAATACACCATCGCCAGCTTTTGCATATCCTTGTTCAGATTACAAAAGTTTCGAGCAAGGTTTGTGTACATCTTGTGGCTCGTCTTCCGATCGATGTCAACGAACTGGCTATCATGCTTCAATTTCAAAAACACTTGGTACATTATATCTCATGACATTACACGGCGTCAAGCCACCACATTTCGGTCTGTAATCATCTTAATAAAGAAAGAAAATAGAGAACGATCAAAATTTCATTTTTGTAGGTTTTAACTTCAAAGTTATACTTGAATCAGACATGAACGACAATGCACAACAAACACGAGGCATCATCAAAGTTAAATTCGATGAACAAAACGAGGACACACTGTTGTTCGAGTATGAGAATAGAAAAATGTGTTCAAATAAATCTATTTGGTTTTTTTCAGTCAAAATACATTGTTCAAACGTGGCTCGATCAATTCAAAAACGATTCTTGTTGCCAACAAACCTACGGCAATGGAAAAAATTAATATCTCATTTAAAAAAAGTTTAGGTTCCACTTTGGGTATTGGTCTCGCCGGTCAATGGAATATTCGTTCGGTTACTATGCTTGATATGCAATCTCATATGAGGTTAGTTATTCATTTTGACAAATTATTAGACAATATATTGACGTTTTTTCTTTATTCAGTTATAGATTTTGTCCAACATCAAACTCACCGATGATTAAGAGCGGCTCAAATCTCACATATAAATTGTGTTGAAGTTTCAATCTCATTCTTTCTTTATCCAGTGAGAAATAAAATGATGACACGTGCTCGAGCAAAAATATTTCTTCAACTTTTGTATATCACTTCAATATTCTATTCACTTCGAATAACATATGAGGGTGTGGGTGATATATAATATTTATACTCACGCTATATTTTGAAAAATACTTTAAAGACACCATTTACCTTAAAAAAACACTTTAATAAAATAGTTAGTGTTACTTTAAATTTTACAACTTGAATTTAATGTAATATGCTACTTTATACAAAGGTGAACGAGCTGATTTCAAAAGTAAAAATTATTGTGAAATCATCAGTAGTTATTGATATCATCTAAAATCTCATGAAATCATAGAAAATTATGATATCAGTTTGTTCCACGTTGCAATATTTTTATATTTGATTTGACTAATAATTGTAAAAGTCCTCTTTCGACCAAAATCAATGTTATAATTAAAGTAGACTTACTAAGATCACGATTAACAAAATGCTGATCCTGCACATTTCTACTCATAATATAGGTAAGATCCTAAAAGAATTCATACATATTATGTCTTTCTCCTCGATCTATGTTCATTCTGCTGAATCACATTGTTTGATTTATTTATATTTATCTCCTGTAAATAAAATTATTTTTCACTGTTCAAAATTCTATTATTCATTGATAAAAGTTGAACTTTTTACTAGTACTTTTATTTAATAAACTAATCACTTAACAATTATTTATTGATGTTTTCATTAGTATTCATTTAATATTTATATAGATTATTTAATCTATTATATTGATCACTTAAACAGTAGCCATGAAAATACCCAACATGTATATTCATATTTAATTTATTTTAAAAAGAATGCATACTCAATTTTGCTAGTAATGACTTCATTTTTATCAACTATTTCTTTTTGACATTAACCACTATTCAGATCGCATTTTTGTTATATATGATTGAGATTTCTATTTTATTCAGTTAATGACAATTTTACAAAAGCATTCATGATTAAATAGATTGATTAAAACATTCAAATTTATGATTCAGTCAACAAATCAAAATATCATACTGTCGATTTTGATCAATACAGCTCGGCAATTTTGAAATAAGTACCATTATATCCACCCGCAACTAATACTTTTCCATTTCCTAGTATAGATGCGGAATGAGAACGTCGTGAGACATTCATGTTTCCTGTAGTCGTCCAACTACTTGTTGTTGAATCATATAATTCAGCACAATTGAGATAACAACTACTATTCCATCCACCAGTAACTAATACTTTTCCATTTGATAATACAGATGCTGTATGTCCTTGTCGTGCGTAACTCATGTTTTCTATAGTTGTCCAATCACCTGTTGTCGGATCATACAGTTCAGCACTACTAAGATAACTACCAACATATCCACCAGTAACTAGTACTTTACCGTTTCCTAATATGGATGCTGTATGATATTGTCGTGTAACATTCATACTTCCTGTAGATGTCCAATTACCTGTTGTTGGATCATATAACTCAGCACTACGGAGATAACCACTACTATCTTGTCCACCAGTAACTAATACTTTTCCATTTGATAATATAGATGCTGTATGTCCTTTTCTTGCATTACTCATGTTACTTGTAGTTGTCCAGTTACCTGTTGTTGGATTATATAATTCAACACTACTGAAATAACTACTATCATTCCATCCACCAGTAACTAACACTTTTCCATTTCCTAATACGGATGCTGTATGTTCTGTTCGTGCAACACTCATTTTTCCTGTAATTGTCCAATTATTTGTTGTTGGATCATATAATTCAGCACTACGGAGATAACTACTACCATCATATCCACCAGT